ATTCCTCATGATCTGAGATTAGGCAGAGATTATAGATGTAAAGCAAAACCACAGTCCATAAAAGAAAAAACTAACCAATGGACTTCATCAAAATTTAAAACTTTTTCTTTGTGAAAGACACTGTTAAAAGAGTAAAAAGGCAAGCTACAGAATGGAAAAAGCTATTTTCAAACCACATATCTGATGAAAGACTTGTATCCAGAAAGCACAAGAATGCTCAAAACTCAATGGTAAGAAAACAATCTAATTTTAAAAATAGGCAAAGGCTTAAACACACATTTAAGAAAAAAGGATATACAGATGGTAAATGAGCACCTGAAAAGATGTTCAGCATCATTAGTCATTAAGGAAACGAAAATTTAAAACATACTGAGAAACCACTAAATACATATTAGAAGGGCAATAACAAATTAATTACCAAGTGTTGACAAAGATGAGAAGCAACTAGAACTCTCATCAATTGCTGGTGGGGCTGTGAAATGGTACAGCCACTCTGGAAAACAATTGGACAGTTTTTACACAATTAAGTACACACTTACCATATGAATTAGCAGTCCCTCCCCTAGGTATTTACTGTGGAGAATTGAAAATGCATATTCACATGAAAACCTGTGCATCAATGTTGTTAGAAGCTCCATTTCTAATCACCAAAGCTGAAAACAACTCACTGTCCCTCACTGGATGGGTGGATAAACTTTGAGACACAGTGGTATACTACTCAGCAATGAAAAGTAACAAGCTATTGATATGTGCAGTGACATGGATTGATCTCAAAGGCATTCTGCTGAGTGAAAGAAGCAGTCTCAAAAGATTTCATGCTGTAGGATTCAATTTCTGTGATTTGGGAAAAGGGACAACAATGGCAAGAATAGACAATTGCTCGCCATGTGTTAAAACTCAAAGACCTGTAAACCGGAAGAATAAATACGTAAAAAGGGGAGTGATATTTTATTCTAAGTTAATTTTTTAAAATAAAGTAAAAATGGCAATATAAACCCATGATGTAAATGTAGCACATTTTATGAAATTAAACCATATTTTCAAGAACAAAAAATTAGTAAAAACAGTGGCATCATTTTAGATTTTTATAAATTTCTTTACTATGAAGCTTAATAGAGACAGCTGGATTCTCCTATCTGCTTCTGCTTTCTTAATGTTACTATACCATATGTCACATAGTCTCTGGAAAACCCCACATACCCCTGAAAGAGATTAAGAGTGAAAAAAGCAAATAATGTCTTACTTTATTAAGATCATTGTTTGGACTCTATGGACCACCTGAAATAGTCTCAGGGATTCCCCAGGGTTCCTGGACCACACATTGAGAACCACTGATACAATACACTCCCAGATTTCAGTCATTTTTATAGCATCATGGCTTTTCCCCCCATACATGTTTACTTAATGGTTTTGTTTACATTGGTCCATTTTTTATCATGTTTATTTAAAGAGAAAACTTTCTATATCTCCTATAAATGAACAACCCATCCCACTTTCCCATAAATGGGAAGTAGCTACAAAAATAAATAAGCAATTAGTAACTTATATTTTTTACAAAAGAAGTTTAGCCATGAACCATCTGAACTGATCTCTGAATGTCATGCTTTGGAAAAATGCCAACACAGAGGAGTAAAGACAATGATAAAGGTAGCTACCTCTGACATATATTTCACTTATGTTAACCCATTTAATCCTCACAGTTATCATGAGAGGTAGGTAGTATTGTCCCTTTTTAACTATTTTAAATATCTAAAGGATGCAAGCTGTGTGGGCAGATACGAAACCTGGATTATTGTCCAAGTTCTATTAAAACTTGCTGCTAGAACATGTCCCTGAACCTCATTATCCTCATCAATAAAATGAGGGCAGAGTACTAAATCAGGGTACTCAAGTTCAAACACTGGGTGCCCACCCAAGGGACCAGGCAGGTAAGGGGGAATGTGGACTGAATGTAAGGCAATAAGGAGTGGTGGGGACAGTGGTAAACTAGGGACCTTGCATCTTGTCTGATGAAGGCAACTGCTACTCAGTTACAACTGTTTCTTGTTGGTGGTGGGGGTTTGTTGGTTTTGTTTTTGACAAGTATACTTTTATTTTATTCTATAAAAGAAGGTGGAAGTCTGGATACTTTGTGTACAATTTACCAGTGCCTGGAGCACTGGAGAGGCCAGCCATACACACAGGCTGGCTGATTTATGACCTTTTGACTGGATGATCTCCTCTGGCTTAAAGGTTTCCATGATCAAATAAGATGTTTTTATACAGTGGTAGAAACAATACCCAAATTACAGAAACAGGCAGTTTAAAACAATCTTGAAAGGGGGTTATGGACTTAGAAGGTATCTCAACACAGCCTACATGAATATTGATTGGGAGCTAGAGTAATTGAAAAGCCAAGGTACATTAACAGAATAGCCAAGTGTATTTCTTTGTATCCCTTTGGTGTTGGGTTAGAGCAAATCAGCAATGTTTATCCAGAGTAATATTTATCAGCAATATTTATCCAATATTTTCAGTTTACAGAGAGCTAATGTAATCACGAGATGGCTTATTGAAATTCTTTTCTTAGACATAGAGACTTGCCCAGGGATGGTCAGTGTTTGAAATTTTAGTCAGCAGTTACTCAGAATAGTAAATACAAGCATGTGATTTATGCCATTGTGTGTACAAAGTAATGTTTCCTGAGATGTTTTCTATATATATGTTGGCTGTTTTGTTTTTGGGGTTGGTTTGTTGTTTCTCCCTCCTCTGCTTATCAGATTTCCTTCTAAATCCTGGCATTTGACAATGTTGCAGGGCCAGTTTCTCTGTGAATCCACCGTAAAACATACTGGTGGTTTCACAATTAATTTAAATTTGGGTTTATGGTTTATGCAGGTTTATGTGAATTCCTGCATTTGTCTTTATGTATTGTGTACATATTCAGAAGGCCTGTTCCAGAGAGAAAAGGAGGGAGGGCAGAATCCATAGTCTGAATCTTGAAAGATGGGTTTATTCACCAATGACATCATTAGGATTGTATTTTCTCTTGGTTAATAAACTGGCAGGTGTTGTAAGCCAGCCAGAGCTAGTCATGCCATTTCTTGGAAATGATCTGAAGCTACTGGTAATTGAAATGATAATCATTTGATCAGAGTGAGAGCTATTTGAAAATAACACTCATCTCCAAACTTGTCTCTTCTATGAAACCATATTTGGTAAAACTGTTGTCAAAATTCATCTTTGCTAATGTTGAGAATTATATACCATGATAAATATTTTCCAGTGTATTCTAAACTTGATTTCTGGTATACCCTGTCCAGAGGTTGTTCCCATATCCTTTGAAACAATACCCAGGCTGAATTTTTATTCTGACATTTAATAATCACCATGTAATAGCTATAAAATGCGTGACAACTACAGATCTTTTATTTCAAGAGGATAGTGTAGTGAATCTGAGTGAAATCATCCACTGAAATGGTACTTTGTAATATGCCCCATTGTTTACATAAAGTATTGCAATATTTTTTTTCTTGAGCAGAGGATAAAAAGAGTTTCCACTTTGTCTCCCATTTAGTGGAAATTCATATTTGATCATGATAAGAGGAAATATTCCATTACAAAAGTTTTATTTTTCATTTTTGATGGGGTATTTGTTATTTTGCTGCTGCCTTACAAACTTTCTTCTCAGAAGCAGCTTGGAACTGGAGGAAGAAAAGTGTAATTTTAGATCCTACCTTAAAACATTTTTAAAAACTAACCCCAGGGTTTTTTATTGCGTGAAGCTTATCTTAATAAGCCCTTTTTTGTTTGCTTTGGAGTAGCGTGTGCAGTGCTGTGTGTGTGTGAGTGGGGGAGAAGGAGGAAAGAGTCATGTTTAACAGTAAAATTAGTCGAAATCACTTGTGAATTCCTTTTGTTTAATAGCCTAGAGACATCTTCCTGTTGTTGTTTGTCAAAAATATTTCTCAGATTTTGTAAGCTTAGGGGTTTTCAGAAGCTAAGCTTTCTTCAGAAATGTGAAGTAAAAGAAATGAAAGAAGTCAGTTCAAGTTGAAATGTCAAATGTTTCAAATAATTTAACTTAAAGCCCAGTGACATGATATTAAGCCTTTTCCAAAGAATCTTCTGGTAAGAGAGGCCCCCCTTTTCTCCGTGTATGGACATCTATTAAATATCTTGGTGAATTAATTCTGAGTCAGAAAAGTTGATTGTTTCCTGGAAGCAATTACAGATGCTTAAAATTCAAATTTATGATCCATAGGAGAAACTTAAGTTTCAACTACTTTTCTTAGATTCAAAGCCTTTCTCCTCACTCGCCCTCTCGCTTCTTACCCCATATGTATTAAAAGAAAAAAAATCAGTACATTTCTCAACTTACAAAGTTTTTAAGAAACATGAGAATGTGTAAGTTTCTTTCAGTGGGAAGCACATAACATTTATGAAGTATTTCTTTTGGGATTACATCACAGTTTTATTTAATTTTTAGGACAAAAGTTAAATTCAATATTTGTGTATAAGCCAAGGGAAAATGTACCATAAACATAGGAATTTTGGGGTGAGTCAGAGTTCCAAGAATCCCAGATTTACTTAGACCATTTATATAGAGACAGGCTAACCATTAGTCATCTAGTTCTCACTTTTTACTTTTGCAATTAATTGTACTTAAAAATTAACTCTCACCCAAGCGGTCAGATAGGCAGAGTAGGCTTTGGCAGCTCACATTAAAAATAGCTATTGGAACTACTGCCCAAGTTTTGTACTTTCTAATCATATAACAAATATATCATATAAATAATCATATAACAAATATATCATATTATTCCTCAACTAGACAACTAGCAGTGAAACAGTCATTGAAATGAAGCGAGTTATTGACAATTCTCTGTCCCTAAAAAGCACATTGTCTGCTTGTATAAGGTTAAACCGCTGAAATGGGCAGATGGGCTTTACTGAAAATTTATCATTTACTTCAGAATGACAAATAATGTTTTTTGTTCTTCCCCAACCACCTGTTGTAGGATGAAGTCATTGCTGTTTCCGAAAAGGTGATTGTGAAGCTCGAAGACCTGGTCAAGTGGGTACATTCTGATTTCTCCAAGTGGAGATGTGGCCTCCAGGCTGGGTCCCTGAAGACAGAGGCCTTGGCGAGGAATGGACAGAAGGAAGCTCTGCTCAAGTACAGGCAGTCAACCCTGAACAGTGGGCTCAACTTCAAAGACGTTCTCAAAGAAAAGGCTGACCTTGGTAAATATAATGTGTACTTCTGAATCTAATGTCTGAGGATATATAGTAACCTACTTTTTTGGTTGTAGGTTTTTCTGGAAACTCTGGTATGTATATATACACATATACTGATGTGTGTGTGTGTGTGTGTGTGTGTACACTCTGATTATATCCTGGTTATATATATTATTTCTTTAACTTCAAAGGGGCCTGGCAATACAGGTGGGCAGATGAATGGGTATGTAAGGGATAAATTTTACCCATTAGAACACAGGACCTTCCTTCTGTGGATCCCTGTGCCAGAAGCTTTAGGTGGAAAGCAAAATGAGGAAGAGAGATGAGTGACTTAGTGTGGAACAGGAGAGCCATGCCAAAGTAGGGGACCACTGGTTAGCATAGGTTTTCCTGAGCTTTCAGCATTTAGTCATCACCATCAACTACATATTTTTTTTTCTTTCCTTCCTTTCCATCTTCCACTGTAAGCTTAAAGACCTTGCGACTTGGAGTTATTACTTTAATTAGTGTTTGCATCCTACTGTGCTGCTTATTTAGTTGTATGGCCTTGGGCAAATAATTTAACCTCCAAGCCTCAGTTTTTCCATCTGAAAAATGGAGCAACCTGACAGGGTCACTGTGAGATGTAAGATATAAAGGGTCAAGTACAGTGATTGGTGTACACGGGGCTCCATAATTAATTCTATTGCTTTTTCTTAACACCTTTCTGCTCTAGTGACTTTTTCTTGTTCTTTGTGTCCTTTCCCTGTTTTTCTTACTTTTGTTTGTATCTCTCTGCAGCACTCACTGACTTACTCTTCTAGCATTGCTCAAGACCGGAGTTGACCTCTAATTTAGACTAGTTATTTCCTCTTTAGGCAAAGAGGAACTTTACTTTTAACATATTAAGGCATCTTTTTCTTTCATTCTAACACAATGCTGATTTTCGTAGCCCTATTTTATGCCTTAATGTGACAACTTCCTGTTTTTTTAACCTAGAATTTAACTATTATAACAAACATAGACTGTTTATCTTAACTGGCATAAAGAGACTGAATAAAACCAGTAACTGACTATCTTTAATGTGATTCTGGTTTGTGATGAGCTGTACTGTGTTTTGGGAATAGCATTAATATTATCTTGTAATTTGAGTTTAATGATCAACAGTTTCCTGGAGTCTTTGGTTGATGTCAGATAGTAATATTTTGGGCACAGCAGCCTGATTGTCATGTGCACAGTTAGAGAAAATTATTAATCTAGTGGTTTTCCTTTTAAAGCCAAATGAACTTTTTTTTTAACGAATCTTCCTGTATATGCTGTTACACCCTTCAATCTGTGAACACACAGACTAGTCTTCTGAGGTGCGATAGTGTTGAATAATACATCTGTTTTGTTACTTTCCTAGTGTATGATCTAAGTTGTATCATTATTGTCTTGTTTTCCTTAACATTAAAGCCTTTCTTTTGTTTGAAAATTTTTTTTTAGTTATGGAATATACTGTTACTAATAAAAAACTAAACAGGAAACCCACAGGGGACAAAAGGATGTGTAGATGGTTAAGCTTGATGTCACACAAATAAACAAGAGTATTTATAGCAGGGTTGTTTTGGGTTTAAAATTGATAGTTTATTAATGAACATGAAAAGAAACCTAATCTCTTAATTCTAACAAAAGATTTAGAGGTTTTGATCTTTTTGAATTCTAAAAATGTCCATAATATACATTTTGAGTAATTGATTCCAGAAGAAATTGGTTTAGAGTGAATATTCAAAGTACTTAGTGGTTTTTAAATCTAGTTGTTCATTAGACACACTAGGGGAATTTTAAAAAAAATAAGATGGATTGCTGAGTCTGCTTCCCCAGATTCTTCTTTCAGTAGGACCAAAGCAAGGCTGAGGAATGTTTGCTTATAAAAGGCATTCTAGGTAATTCTTTTTTTTTTTTTTTTTTTTGCCGGGATAGTGGTGTCTCATTTGGGAAACAGCTCTACTATTAGTGCTGAGGAAGAGAAAAAATCATCAGGGTATTTGATTGGGAGACTCTCTCCTCTGCTCAGCAAGAAACACCATGTACTTTTTCTTTTTTTTTTTAATGTAAAATACCCCTTTAAGGATAGAATTTGGGACCTTGAAATTCTACTCAGTTGGTATGAACTGTGGGGAATTTGAGACAAATAGCTTTTGTAATTGGAATGCACACTGTGTTGTAATAATGTGGAAAGAGAAACAAAAACTTTTCTTAATGTAATGAGTTTCCATTATCTGCTTGATCTAAGGTTTACAAGTCTACATTGTTAGGATTTATTTTGGGGAGACAGGGGGTGTCATTTGGTGTTTGCATTCCTGTCCCTGCAACTTTCTCTTCAACCTCTTCCTTTCTCTGTCTGCAACATCAAAATATTTGTTGTCTGTACTTTTCTTTCTACACAGTGGTTTTCTTATCTCCCTTTCTCTTGGCCACACTAAAACCACTTCCAATACCACATTGTTAATGGAAGTTCACACACTTATTAGGTTTTTCCTTCTGTAGAACTCTTCCAATTCCTCATTGTTCTTACCAAAGAAAGAAGATGAACTCTGAGATTACGTAAGACCCCCCCTTTTTTTTTCTGGTGGAAGTAAGCAAAGAATGGAAAGATCTCACCTTTCTGTAGATAAAGTAAAACTGCAATGTTACTTTTTTTTAACTGAGTTATTTCATCATGTTAAAACATCAATAAAAACAAAATAATTAGGTTACCTCTTAAAAGAAGGGCTTTTACCATATAAAAAGTAATTAAAGAACTCTTCTTGCTCAATGTTTAGGTAGAATAAATTCCCTTTAATCTCAGTTTGTGTCACTTCCTGTCTCTCTGAATAGTAAAAAAAAAAAACAACCAAGAATGTTCTCATAAATGTGTGTCTGCCAACAAATTAATACTCCACAAAGAGAAACTCTGCCCCAAATGGCAGCTTCCAATAACTGCTCTGATTCAAATCACAATTCTTTCATTTTTTATCCCCTTTTCCTCTTCAAGGACAATATTTGCAGATGTCATATTTGCTTTTTAAAACTCTCTGGAGTTTTCATTTTAAGATTCTAAATGACTGGTGACTAAAATTTCAGATAGACCATGGGAAAACTAGTACTTTTAAACAACACTTCTGAGATGCGTAAGAATACTTTGTCCCCTTCCTCCTCTTTGTGCTTTTCAAAGAAAGAAAGTTGAACATAAAACCAATTCAAATTGTGACTTTACTCAGTGAGATGTTTTGCCTTCTTTCAGACAGTAGTTTCATACCGAAGTTTATAGAAAAAAAACTATCTTACAATAGAAGGGTTAAGGAATGTATTATTCATAAGCATAACGAACACAGGAACCTGTTTTTCCAGAAGAATCGGGTTGATTAAATCATTCACTACACAAGCCTCTCATTATTTATTTTTGTCTTTAGAATCACAGTACTTAGATTTTGTAATAAAGTGGACTCGATACCCATATTTGGTATGGCAGTTAGAAGTAACCAAATGAAGAATTATTTCATTTTATAAAATTTTTAGCATCTAAGGAATATAAACACTATCAGTTAAACATAGCAAACTTGCATTTTCTTTTATTCCTTGGGCAATAGTTTGAAAAAAGTCAAATTATTTTATATAACACTGCTTCTTACAGAGTTCCTTTAAGTGAAGTATGAAAGCTGCAGTGCAAGCTTTATTGGCCTATAAATATGTCATTATAGTTGGACTACATTTATATGCTTTGGATTGTTGTTTAAGCCAAGAAAATATGTCTCTACAGGTTGACTTTTTATTGAAACCCTTTGAGGCATACAACAGAATGTATTTTAGGCCAAGGTTATTAAAACAGCATTTTCATTTTTTTGCAGCAGACTCATTGTCAATTATGCTGCCACAAACTGTCTGTGGACAGGCAGTTATGAATGGCTTTATCTCCAAATGTGTCTTTAGAAAAAGAAAGAACAGATAGAGTATTCTCAGATGAAATCGAAAAAAGAGACCAAAAGATGTGAGTGTGCTATGGCTGAATTTAATGAGGGGGGTTCCCTCAGTTCAATTTCTGTTTCTGAAGTCCCATCATATTGAGAAAGAGTGGCTTCCCCTGTCCCTTCTGTTGCTGAGACTTTAACTGTTCTTTGGGGAATAAACAGCATGGTGATGCTGAAAGAGAACTAACTGGATGGGTTGTCAGGATGTCAGGAATCTCAGCTCTACCTGTAGATCTGTCACTCACTGGAGAAGTCACTGCATGTTTACACATTCGAGTTCCTTGTGCGTAAAATGGGGAATAGTGTGTACCTGGTTTTTCTTATTTTCTCAAATACTTGAGAAAATCAACTGAGGAAAAATTAATATATATGGGAGCACTTAGTACTGAAATCTAAGATGCTATTATTATATTATTATTACACAGTACAGTGTTAGCTCTTCTGTCCCTTTTCAGTTTCCCTAGTGATTTAGGGCAAGGTTTACTCTCATTACTATCTGCCTCAATAGAAGATTGTTATTAAAATCCTTCAGATCCTAATTTTATTTACATATATTTTTGTAATATATAATATATGTTATACATAAAATGTATTATAGATAAATATTTTATATATTTCTTTATATATAGATATATATCTACATTTTATATTAAATAACATTTTTTTCTCAAAAATTCTGTCAAAATAATCTGAGCCATAAGTGGCCAGTAATATGAGCAAATTCTCAAGTACTTATAGTTAGAAATTGACTATAGTCTCTGCTTGGTAATTCTGGAGGTCTTGTATTCAAATAGTTATTTCAGATTACTTTTGAGTCTGAGATAAGTCAACCTGCTTCTTGGAATGTGGCTATGGGAAAGATTCTCACTCTGTGTTGAAGAAAACAATATTGATGTCTCTAATAAGAAGCAGCCTAAGTTTGTTATAAGATAGTTTGTTATAATAAGGATTTTTCACGTAAGATAGCTAATGAACTTGTTAGGATTTTTACTGGGACAATCCTTTTCTTTCTTTTTTCTTTTTAAAATTTTTTATTTA